TCTCAATGCTTATTCACGTTCCGCGGCAACAAACTGAATGACCTTACTGTCGTGCACGCACTGACAATTCCTATCGGTCGACCTATCAAGTAAAACCGTCACAAGTCGCAACAAGCTTTTTCATTATCGCCATCTACCGTCCCAACTTGTTTTCAAATTTTTTAACGTAGAAAATGCAAAATCCCTAGTTGCTCAAATCCCTAGAATACAATTTCCGCGATTTTTGAAAGTCATCCTTCATTCATAATCAGACTTATAATTTTATAATTATTGTTCACATACTTTCAACGAAACAAATACGTAATAACAGGTGAATGTTAGTACTCTTATATAGCATAAATTTTTTCATGATTAGCTAATGATTCAATAGACTTACTAATATTTTAAAATTATGAAATCAAAAATAAAATAACAATCTATAAAATTTAAAAATTTGCAATTTTATTATCTTAGGATATTTTTTAATGAATTATTGAATGGGGAATTACAAAAACCTAGGGAGAGTGTAACGCTGCAGTAACTCCATCAGTAGTAATACCACCATCACCACTACCTTCGTTCTGCCAGCAGCTCCGTCATCGGTAGCAAGCGAAAGAATAAGGTCTTCCGTTCCGGCATAATAGTCGTGCGAGTTGGCAGACGCGCGACCGTGGATTATCTTTTTTCGATTTTTATAGCATTCCCAAGAAAAACTTACAAGAACTTCGTGTTCATACGTTTAGTGCTGTGATCAATTTCTTTACATTTCGACGAATATGAATGAAGAATACGACGCGATCGTGTTAGGCACTGGACTCAAGGAATGCATACTTTCAGGTATGCTGTCGGTCAGTGGAAAGAAAGTGCTCCATGTAGATCGTAATAAATATTACGGCGGTGAATCTGCCTCGATCACACCTCTGGAGGATTTATTTGCGTAAGTTATCTTTATGAATAATATATGTCGATCTATTTCAACGTCAATCAACTATTGCCGGTATTAAACTGGTATTTCAAGCTATAATCGACAACTGTATGATACGATGATTCGTCTTAAATATTGATTTTTTCTCCATTTTATTTTACTATCTTTGTTGTCTCTTATTATTTGGTTAAACTCTTCCGTCAAGTGTTGTTCAAAGACAAAACGTGACGTATGTCGTCATCTACAGTGATGCGTCGTTGCTGTGATTGCTTCCAAATTTCATCTCTTTCTAAACAATTTTATCGGAAAGTTGGCTAGAATGTTACTCGATAAGAGAAAGGGGAGGGGTCCGCCCCGCGAAATATACGCTCGATCGAATATAATAAATCGGTTGTTAACTTTCGTAGAGTTAGCGCAACGCACTGTTTCTCTTTAAGATACTTTTTCTTTACCGCTCACTCGTCTATTTCAACCATCTCTCTTCCACACCTACTTTCACATATATATTTTCGTGTATTATTTGAAAAAAAATTATATATATTTATTAAATCACTTTAACTAAATAGAAAAAAATATAAATATATAAAATTAATTCATTATCAAATATATCTTGTTTAAAAATTAAAAAAAAATTAAATATCTAAATCTATTATCGTTAATTTAAGTTATTTACTATAAAATTCAACATATGGTGTTTGTCTTTTTCTGCACAAACTCAAATTTCAAATAACGGTTGTTTTGATTATATAAATATTTTTTTTTTTATTCTTCATGTAAAAAGATTTTATTTAATATTTTTCAATATCAATTTTTGCAATGTAACAAAAATTCATTACAATATAACGGAACTAAATATCGTTTCTACTGTATGTGAAACGAAAAACGATAACATCCGCGTGATTGCGCTTCTGGTTCATCGAGAAGACACGGTTATCGTATGTTCGGTTGTAGTCAATAAATTGTAACGCATCTAAACTACCATCTGTTATAACAGTATATTGTTTGATTGTACTTGTATATAATACGATTTAAAGAACATTTGAAAATAATATTAATATCAAATATATATTTTAACGATTTCTATAATTTCAATTTATACATAATTTTATTTGTTGATAAATCGTTTAAAAAATTAAAAAAAATAAATGAAAAAATTTAATGTTATTTATATATATTTTGTTACAAAATATATATTTATTATTATTATATTAGTATTATTATTTTTATTATTATTAATTTTATGTTTATATCTCTATTTAGGAAATTTAAAGCCCCCTCACCTGATGAAACTTATGGTCGTGGTCGCGATTGGAATGTAGATTTGATTCCAAAATTCCTGATGGCAAACGGCTTGTTGGTAAAACTTCTAATTCACACAGGCGTGACGCGTTATTTGGAATTCAAATGTGTTGAAGGATCGTACGTTTATAAATCGGGCAAGATTTCGAAAGTGCCGATTGATCAACAGGAAGCACTATCTAGTGATTTAATGGGTCTTTTCGAAAAAAGACGTTTTCGCAGTTTCCTTATATGGGTACAAAATATGCAAGAAGATGATCCCAGAACTTGGGACGGCTTCGATCCATTTAATAATAGTATGAGTGCTTTATACAATAAGTTTAATCTCGATAAAAATACTCAAGATTTTACTGGGCATGCACTAGGTCTTTACAGGTAAAAAAAAATATAGATACAAATATTATTTTAAAAATATCATTGATTAATATTTAATATATTGCATTTGTATTTCAGAGATGATGAATATATAAGTCAAAGCGCAATTACTACTATAAGAAGAATTAAATTGTATAGCGATAGTTTAGCACGTTATGGAAAATCTCCATATTTGTATCCTATGTATGGTTTGGGTGAACTTCCTCAAGGTTTTGCACGACTTAGTGCTATTTATGGCGGAACATACATGTTAGATAAACCGATTGATGAAATTGTAATGAAAGATGGAAAGGTAATAAATAATCGATCTATTTTCGCAAAATAAAAAATTTTTTGATTAATAATTAATTATCGATTTTCATTACAGGTTGTTGGTGTACGTTCTGGCGACGAGGTGGCCCAATGCAAACAAGTATTTTGTGATCCCACATATGTACCTGATCGCGTGAAAAAAGTGGGTCAGGTCATAAGATGTATTTGTCTTTTAGACCATCCAATACCAAATACAGCAGATGCTCTTTCAACACAAATTATTATTCCTCAAAAACAAGTAAAAAAGATTTATCTTTCATTTTCATTATGTATCAAAATATTCATTCATTTCTTTATTTCTTTTTATTTATTATTATTATTTTCTATTTATTTCTTTTTATTTTTAAGGTTAATCGTAATTCCGATATCTATGTATCTTTGATATCGCATACGCATCAAGTAGCAGCAAAGGGTTGGTTCATAGCCATGGTATCCACTACAGTTGAGACGAAAAATCCAGAAGCCGAAATCAAACCAGGTTTGGATTTACTCGGATCAATTAAACAAAAATTCATATCAGTTTCTGATTATATGGAACCAACAGACACTGGTCTGGAAAGTCAAATTTTTATATCAACGAGTTATGATGCCACAACGCATTTTGAAACTACTTGTTTAGATGTTCTTGATATATTTAAACGAGCTACTGGAGAGGAATTCGATTTTAATAAAGTAAAGCAAGATCTAGGCGATGAAGATCAGTAACCATAAGATAATTATTGGTCAGTTTTAAAAATAGTTCATGCTGAATTGAAAAAACGAGCGAATATAATTTAATGTGTGTATATCGATAACGTCGGCGTTTATCGAAATCTAGAAGGAGATGCGATCAATTAATAAATTTATGCCTAATTCTCTAGATTCTCTTTAACAGAGAATTTCAATAAGAAACGTTATTAAAAATTTATTTTTCAAATTTATTCCAATTCTAATTCTAAAAACTGCCCTTTTTACATTATGTCTAAAGTACACGTGTACAACCATTTTCACAGAAAATGAAAATGTTAGAGCTTGTAACATTTGTCATTTGGATATTCGTCGATAAATTTTAACAAAACAAATTTCAAAATACAAGATACTGTGTGGTTTAAGTGTGCCCATGTATTCATCATGGATATATCGTGATTTGAATAAAACATGACAGAGCCGATTATCGTGACTTTATAAATGTATCATATTTTAATTATCAAATTAAAACATAAGAATATAATTGTTTATTGAGATTGTAAATGTTAAAAAGTCCTATAGTTATATTACTAATTGCAGTAGTAAAAATGCGTTACGACACGAGGTACAAGATAGAGATAATTTAAAAAAATAAATTCTACACGCAATTATATAAATAGCATGCCGCAGTATAGAATTAGAAAATATGTCATATTGATTCTGCACATTTAGTTATGATAATTATTAATATAAATTTCAAACACATACGTTAAAGAATTCAAAGTACATACGTATAAATTAAAGCGTTCGCAAAGATTAATTTGCTTGCAATAGAAAATATTACAAAAAATGGATGTCAAAATAAAAAGAAAGAAAAAAAAGCGGCCAACCATTTAAATATATATATTGAATAAATATATTATATATACAATATATATATATACTTTCTCATTCTTAAATATGTTTGAATGAGAATATAAAAAAAAATGGAATCGTTGAAATGTTGTTATTTTATGTGAACTGAGAGCTGGAATATTTCTTTGTCTAATATTTACAAGATCATTAATATGAATTTAAAAAACACATTAATAAATTTAAAAAGAATAATTATGTACAGAATTAAAATTACTTTAAAAATTACTATACGTGTGCACTTGCGTATGCGTGAATGTTTTGTTATTGTGATTGATTGGCTATTTTTCAGAATTTCTTATTTCGCTTGCATTTCTCTTCAAACTGTAAGCGCACCGTGAATTTGTATTATGTATAAAATTTATTGAACAAAAAAAAAGTATGTGATTTCCTATTATTTTATCTAAAACATTATTCACGTAACTGTAATGTGACAGTCATAAAAAAAAAAAAATAAACCGTATTATATTAATTTCATTAATTTGTATTCCTATCTGTTACAATTTAAGAAATATTTCATATGTTTACTTACCGAAAAAATTTAAACAAGTTCTAAAGCATAAACATTATTATCCCTGCATCCAATAATTATAATATTATTATTAACAACAGGTGATGAGAAAACTTCTGCAGGAAGTTTTTCAATTTTTATCACTCTATTCTTTATAGAGTTGTAAATATTTAAAGTACCATCTTTACATGCAATAAATAAAAAATTATTTTCACACCAAGGTGTGGCTAAAATTGGCGAATGAAAATTTAATACATATTTCAATGTCGGTTTAGTTTTAAAGTTTGTATCTTTCGATTCTAAACAGTATAAATTCTTATTTTGACTAGCTAAAATAATATTTTCATATTTTGCATCATTTTGTTTTACAATGTATGAAAATATATTGCCATTAATTTTGTATGTCCACATCTGCAAAATTAAAAAATAGAGAATTATGTTTATACAAAAAATAAATATATTTTTATATACTTATTACCTTAACATTAACTTCAATATCAAAACAACATAATAATCCTGTTACAGAACAAAATAAAACGAGTCCATTATTCAATGACACAGGAGCAACAAAAATTGGATCTGATAATTTATATTTCCATACAAGCTTTCCTGATAATTGTTGAAGAGCTAAACAAAATCCATCTAAAGTACCAAATAATACAGTATCTGATTGAAAGTGTAAACAACCAGAAGCATTAATGCTTCCATTTCCGAATTTAAATTTCCAAATTTCAGATCCATCCTATAATGAAAATATTTTATTTTTATCATTACATTTATTTTTTTATGGTATGTAATGTAATTTAATTGTGGACATGTACTTTAACAGATAAACAGTATATGTAACAATCATAAGAGCCAACAAATATTATTCCTTTTTCTTTACAAAATATTACAGAATTTTTTACAACATTTCCTGTTTTATAATTCCAAATAAATTTTCCCGTTTTTAAATGAAAACAATATATATTACCATCATAACATCCTGTAAAAAAGAAAAAGACAATATACCAAGAATGTGAACAACTTTTATATACATTAAAAACTTACCTACTATACCTCTAAAATTATCCAAAATTAGAACTGAAGATTCAATTCTATCAGGTAGCTTGATTTTAAATATAGGATTATGGCATTCTTTTTCTAATTCAAACGTAAAAATAAAACCAGAATGAGAACCAACTGTTGCATATGTTTTTCCACTATATAAGATATTTATTAATATATTAATATATTAATAAAATTATAAAATTGAAAATCATTGATTAATAAAAATATACTTACTCTGAATAATGAAATATAGTTGGTGATGCATCTACACATTTTCTCATATCATATGTTTTTTGTATTTTTACTTTTGAAATTGTATCATATTGTAATTTAAATTCTTCATTTATATCTGATACATAATTACATACTTGTCCTCTACATTTGTACCACTGACATAAATGAATGTCATTTACTTGAATTGTTAAATCATATTTTTTGTTTTTTTCATTAGAATCTCTAAAAGATTTTTCATCTTCTATTGTAATAACAGTGATTAAAGGTAATTCTCTAATATTATTATGAGACTTAAGATTAATTATTTCATTTTGACTATTCAATATAATACTTTTTATATAATTAAGACATTCATCAATAGTAGAATCCATTAAAAGCATACCAATTAATTTAGGAAATTCTATGTTTGATATTTCAGACATGGCATTTGATATTTGAAGTGCTACTATAGATGTACCTCCTAATTTTACAAATCCAATATTTTTACGTTGTAGATTATTTTCCCAAATAGATTTAAACGCAACTTCAATTTGTTGTAAGTCGATATTATTTATTATTTTATGTGTTATTTTGTCTTGTATATGATGTTCTTTTGAACGTTCCAAAGAAATTTTTCCACTAGATGTAAATTCTATATGATTCATGAAATGAATTTTATCTGGTCTATATAAAGGATTTAATTTACATAAATATTTCATTATTTTAATATTTATATTATGATAATTAACCACGTTTTTTTTAATAGAAAAATACAAATGTAAATGATGATAACTATCATCCCATAAAACGTAACAATTTTTTACAAAATCTATTTGCAATACAAATTCTTTAAGTTTTGTCAAATCTACTTTATTTCCAAATCTTTTTATAAAACTATTCTTTCTTCCTTTGTAAAATATTTTACCATCTTCATCAATCTAAAATAGAAATATATTTTTATTAATAATTTCTTTGTTATTACGTGTCATTTAAATTTATATAAACTTACATCAACAATATCACCAGAATCACGAAATACTGGTAATTCTAAATCTTCAATATTTTCATCATTCACTAGACACACTCTTTGATTACTTCCTATTCAAAAATGTATAAAGAATAATAACATTTTTATAAAATTAGTAAAATAAAATTAAATATATGTATTATAAAATTACCTATATAAAGAAAACCTGTACCACTTGTTATTACTTCTCCTCTTTTGTTTCTAACTTGAAGCAGAGTATGTGATAATACCTGTCCCAAGTAATGTACATTAAATTGTCCACCTGTTATTAAAATTTCATTAATGCTAGCCCAACAGGATACTTCAGTAATACCATAGATATTATAAATTTTAGTATATTTATTATAAGGGTGCATAGTTTCAGAAATTACTTCAAGTTTTGGAAAAGGTTCTCCACCAAAAAGAATAGCTCTTAACGAAGTGTTATTACTTAAAATACTGCTTTTTAAAGATTCAGGTGACCAATTATATATAAAAACTGATGGGGTTATTTGTAGTATAGTAATCTGACTAGAATAAGCTATTTTCAACAGTCTGAAAAAAAAAATGTTCGTGTAAAAGTATATAAAACTATATAAAATTTATACTTTGTTTCTATATATTTATAATTATTATTTACCTATCTGGATTATTCTTTAATGATTTTGAAACCATAAACAATGTTCCAGCATTTGAAAGGGCAAGAAAAATTTCGATAATACTAGGATCAAATGTAAAATTTGTAAATTGAGAAATTTTATCATATTTTGTTATTGCCAATATTTTGTTCAAATCTAAAATATTAGGAACTATACATGAATGGAGTACTTTGATCACCTTTGGTACTCCAGTTGAACCAGAAGTAGAAATTGCATAAGCATAATAATTTTGTTTTGCATTTTGTATAATTTGTTTTCGTACATCTTTCAATTTTATAAGATAAATACATTCTCTATGTATCTCAAATTGACAAACAATATTTCCTTCAATATTACTTTGTGTACAAAATAAATAACATAGATTTAAATGATTTTTTAAGTTTATAAATTCTGTTGAATCTACAGGTATATTTATAAAACTATGCTTACTATTTAAAATTCTATATAAAAAAAAATCATAAACAATAAAAATTAATTATTATATTTGTTATATAAAATATTAAATTTTTTTATATAATTTAAAATTCCTTACCCAAGTATTAGAGAAATTACACAATATTCAGGAATATCAAAATTTATACCGATAAATTCAACATTTTGTATATGTTTTAAATAATCAGAAATCATAGATTTTAAATGAAAAAGTTCTTTATAATGTATATAGATAGTTTCTTGTAAATCATGATACTCTATAGCGACATTATCAAGTTGACTCCAATTACAAATATCATGTAATTTTTTTGTAAAATCTTTAAAATCATTGGAATAAAATGTAAAATTTTCTTTTTCTTCATCTAAAATATTTTAGAATTATTAATATTTCAACTTAAAAATAAGTAATTGAATTTTTCAGTTATAGTATATTTATACTTACTCATTTTTATTAAATATTATTCTATATTGATTCTTTAATTTATAAAACAATTTTCTAATTCGTTTTTATCATAGGTTATGTTACATGTTTTTAATATAATATATAAATATAAATCATAATTTCTTTATTTACTATTATTTTTTAATCACTACAATTAATAATATAAAATAATATATATAATTTTTCTTTGTTAGAACAAAGATGTACATTGTGTATTTAATTTATACATGTGAATAAAAAAACGTAACACAATATGTATTTGCGCACGCGCGTGTTCTCTGTTAAATGTATATACTTTTCAAAAATGTAAACATTAAACATTATTTAAGGGTGTTACATGTTATAAAGTATGTGAATTTTAATAACGAATCCTAATAATTTCTTTTGTAATAAATTTACATTTTTTTTTTTTTAAAATAACTTTTCGTTTTACATTTTATAACCTACAATATAAGCATTATTCAAAATAAAAATTAATTAAAAATAGAAATTAAATTTATATTTTATATGAATTTTTATATAATTTATATTTTAAATGAAACACAATTTTTATTCAGATCTAATATATTCCTAACTTCCAATAATAATCATTAAAATGATAATTTGTTTGTTAAACTTTCATTATTACACGCTAATATAATATTATTTGATATTGTACTAGAAATTTGAAATAAATAAACAATAAACACATTAATACAACTTTTTCTTGGAAGAAATAATCCATTTATATAATGTAATCACTATTTGGTGCATTGAAAGTATTATAAGTAAAGCATTGTGACCATTCTTATGAATTATCTAAAACAATGCAAATAGTGTATTAACTATTAAATTTTTGAACACACTGGAAATGAATTTTTCAAAAATCAAGAAATCAAATGTTTATGAATATTTTAATCTATTTTTCTTCACACCATTCATTTTCTTTGCGAACTTGTTCTTCTTCAGATGCAGAGAAATCATTTTTTATATTGAATGTTTTCCGAATTTCTTCTGGAGTTTTACCTTTTATCATATTAGCAACAGTTTTGCATGTTACATCTAACAATCCCTTAATATCAAGATAATTAGCTGCCAAAATTAATTCAAACAATGTTCCTTGATCAACCTATAAATATGTTTCAAATATTTATATAAAAACAAAAAAAAATAAATAAATAAATGTGTATTAATAAAAATCAAATATTTACTTTCAAAAAATCTGCATCCCAAGAACTTATATCATCAGTACGCTTCTCTTTGTTTTCATCATCTTCAGGAGGAGGTGGATCATCTTTATGATAAGTTGCCCATTGTATCACTTTCCTGAGAATAGCAGAATTAACATTTGGAAGAGGAACAACTTCTTCTTCGTCCTCATCCATTCCAAGATCTTCCAACATGGTTTTTATCGTAACAGAACATTTTGCAATATCGACATCAACCTCAAAGACTTCACCATCGGAGCTCTGTAGCTTGATATTAGGCATCTAGAATAAATTTTGAAGAACTATTTTCAATATACTTATTAATCAAAATGCTTTGCCTCAAAAAATTCTTTCTCTATAAAAATAAAATATTCTTTGATTTTAATGTTAGCATTATAATTTTTATTCTTAACATATATATCATCAAAATTTATTTATTTTTAGAAAAATATTTTTGAAACTTTTTTTTTCATATATTACTAAATTATAATCAAATTTAATCTCTTTTTAGAAAGAGAAAGAAACTTCATCATATAAAAAAATGTCATAAAAGATTTAAACGACATTTTCTTGTAACGAATTATGTAAACAAAATATTAACTATTTTAAAAGATAAAAAACAATATTATATATAAGTATTTGTTACTTAAATTTAACTAACTGTCAAATAATCAAATAATTACCGTAAAATGCTTGTTGTAGACAATGTAGAGAAATATCGAATAATTTGCTACACCGTTGATCAGCAGAAGGCACTTGTTCTCCTGCTTTCTATTGCTCCGTTTTTATTCTCTCGCTCCAACTTAATATTCGTTTTCTATCCTTTTCGATGCGTCGAAACCCTATTTACGTCCTTATTCTGCTATTTCTTTTTCCACTTCGTAGTTTCTGGTATGGAGGGAACGTGACTTCCGTATAATACATTAAAGCTGGCGCAAGATGGCACTACAATACCGCGTAATCGCGTAAGAGAATTTGATTCGTCATAGAACAAAATTTTTTGTTAATTTAAGTCATAATAATAAAATATTCAATGAAATGTAATTTATATATAATTATAATATAATCTTTTTCATATTTAGTAGTTAATAAATCAAAATAAAATTACGTTCTTATTTAATAAATACATAAATATTGTATACAATTTCAAGAACCAATCAACTTTTAAGAATCTTTTTAAAAAGTTGCATAAGTTCAATATATTCAATTACGAAACATAGTATATCACTTATAAAATAAAATCATTGGTAAAAGATGTCAAAAAAATATCTTTATATAGGTGAAAAAAAAATATATTATTTTATAGATATTGTAAAAAATCAATTATCATTTATCATTCGACGAATATGATTTAATAATAATCTTTTGCAATAAAAAAGTTTAAAACCATTTAAAAAGATTTAATTTTTATTCGAACAATGGCGTCTAGGAATACATCATCGGATACTTAAATTAAAAAATTATAAGGTATTATATGAAGGGCAATGAATGGATAGAAAAAATTGCACAGTAATTTTCTGTCATAATAATCCATCTGATTTTTAGTAACCATAATAAAAATAAGAACGAACCTGATCCCATCATTTCAAACCATAAAATTATATCCTATTATTGCTCAAATGATTCTTGTTGGGAATCTATGAAAGTTGGAATGCATAAACGAGTAGAAGAATGGATCCATATGGAAAAAGATGCTTATATAGACGCCAATAGCCTACGCATAATCTCTTATTCTTTTCTATTATAATCTATCTTTTCTTTTCCCTTTTTTCCCCTTTCTCTATTATTTTTATTTTCAAGTAAATTTACTTTATAGAAACAGATGGTAAAAAAAAATTAGATTTCACTTTATTTTTTCTTTATTTTATATTTATAGATTAGAAAGTTGTGAATAAAAAATTGTCATATAAAAAATAGAGTTAGTACAGATAAAATATCAACTATGTTATAGTGATTTGATTACCTTAACAAAAAGTTCATTTGATTTTCCTACTGATCGATTTGTAGAACGAGAAAGTGTTCACGAGAGTTTTACTATCGATGAGTCGAAATGTCTTAATTCGAGTTAGTTTGTTCGAAACAGGACAAATGTACGAGTCGTAACGTTTCAATCGTTCATATCGAATGAAATGAAAAAGTTATAAAAAGGTCTATCGAGAAAAATAAAATTGAAAGAAAAAATGAAAGAAAATTCAAATATAATAAAGATGACTAATATAATAGAAAAGATATCAAGATATATTGAAATTATTTTATGTAAAATTATGCAAGGATTACTTTAAGATTTATAAAGTACTTATTTAAAAGTGTGAAACAAAGCATCAATCCATCGAATTCACAAATTGATTTGAATTATAATCTATTTTAACATGCAATTATATATATATGTATCTTTCTCCGATTCGATGAAACAGTTCTATCAATATGATGAATGTTGAAGAAATATTGAAGAACAGGATCACTAATAATTAAAGAAGCTACTAAAATTCCAGAACGAATTTTATATTCAATTGAAGAAATAAGAGAGGAAAGGTAAACGAGCTTGAGAAAGACAAAGATTATAAACCTTACGTAACCTATTAAGGGCAATCGTAACCGCAATCGTAATATTAACAAGATTACTTCTGTTAAATAACTTGATCTGGCCTTTACATCTTTCAAGAACGAGTCGTTCGTAAAAGCTACGATTTCTTCCCCATCTTTCTCAAGCGTGAAACCTTATTAAAATTTATTTCAAATATAAAATCAACTTTTTTTCAAAGCTATAATATCTTACATCTCTTATTTCAATTTCATCTACTGTAAATTAGAATTATTAATGATTAATTGTTTTTTAATTAAAATTATTTTAATTATTATTATTTTTTTCTTTTTAGTCATTTTTTAAAAAAATACGTGACACACGCACATATTTGGCTGGAATTCAAAGAAAAGAAGGTTTAAACATAAAAAAATAGTGACATCACAAGAAAAAACAAAATCTCTCGATGACGCACATCGATATAACCAGTCCATGCTACGTAATGGTTGCGGTGATAAATGCCGAATTACGCAGATCCTTCGCCCCGAAGGCGCCACTACGTCTGTCCTCCGCACCTCTTCAAACTTCCTTTCTTCTCTTACTATTAATACATTTTCAAATCTTTTTTTCTTTCTCGTCCAATTATAATTATTCCATTAATTGCGAATTAAACTTTTTCACAATTTTTTTTTTTTTTGATATTCTTTAAAAAACTCTACGTAATAATCGTTACGATTTCATTGAGTTTCAGCAACAAGAGAGAATGAAACAAAACGAAGAGAAATCTATCGATAAGATAAATAATAATGGACAGAAAGAGGCGTTAATTGTTTTCTTTTACAGAAAATCAGTTTGACTGTACATTCGATTACGAAAGTATACCTGATACATAATTTTATAACTGTAAAGGGATAATGATAGTGATAAAAGAAAAAAATTTAAATCTAAATGCACAACAAGAGCATTTTAACCTATTCACGAAAGGATATACTGAACGAACTTTCCTTAACCGCTTGCCATGCGTAAAAGTAAAAAAAAAAAAAAAAAAAAAAAAAAGAAGAAGAAGAAGAAGAAGAAAGAAATAAAAAAAGAAAAAGCGAACGACTTGTGCTTTTTCACATTAAACAGATACCTGCCTGCCAAGTCTTGCCTATCGTTTTAATGAGGCCTACGCGGGCGTTGTGGGTTAATTATTCCTCAAAAAAAAAAAAAAAAAAAAAACTCGCTGCTGTAATTCTTAACATTCGTTAAACCATCGTCGAAAAAATTTCCGAGAACATCTTTCGAAGCTGGTATTAAATTCCACTGTTTCATTAAAGGTTCGTCAACATTTAACAACGTATAACAACGTATCTGACCGATCGATTTCTTTTAATTCTGTATAACACTTCGTGAGTATTACATGTATTTCGTCGAACATCGAAGTATTAATTGATTAGGATGCGTGATAATTCTCTTCGCATTAAGCGAAGTGAATCGTGAACAATAATTGAAGAAGTTGGAAAATTAAAAAAAAAAAAAGGAGAGAAGAATGAGAAGAAAAAAAGGGAAGGAGGGGGGAGGAAATATTTCTCTACGCTCAAATAAGCTTACAAAGATTTTAATATGCTCAGATATAACAGTGGTATACATTTGGCCATTTGAAAGAACGAAATTCATTCTAGTATACAAATATCAATTGCAATCTCATCTAAAGGTTACGAAAGCAATCTATCCTCCATTTCTCCTTTTTTCGATATCTATATACCGATTTTCGTATTAAAATCATTTTGACAATGGATATTGTGATATAGAGAAGGGGTTCGGAGGAAAAAAGTCTTTTTTAAAGATAAGCAAAGAAACTTTGAAATTTAAAAAAAGAAAATTCAAGCTTCTTCCAGTATTTTAGTAAGTATATACAATAGTAAAAAAAAAAATTATTTTACCTTTATCTTGTGTTTCCTTCGTCCTCAAAATTTTTTTACGAAAATTCAGAAAAGCCGAATAAAATCAGTTATTTTCAGGCGAAATTTCGAGTGGAAAGAAGATATTTATTCGTCCATGAATCGAAAGTGTTATATCTGGAAACGACGTCTTCCACCCCTTCCAGTCGGGCTCCATTCACAAAAGTTCATTCATGAATCCATGTAAAAAATTTCGCCCATTGGAAAAATAGTTTTTCGTGGAATCAGCGGCGGCCAGTTTCGTTGAAAGATTTGCTGCGCGATATCGTTCAGGGTGGAGACTAAATCCAATGACGTAATGAAACAGAGAGTATATAATACGCATACGGGGCGTAACAACGTGGAGGAGGAACAGAATCGGTGATGCTGGTACCAATAGCGATGGATACAGCTTTGGTACTCTTGGTGGTACGGAAGAAGAACGTAGAAGAGGGGTGAGTGGTTGCAGTATAAATGTGGCCCGCGCAAGCTCCACCAATCACTCGCCCTCTGACCTCCAAACTCTAAGCTCTCGTGGTACCAAACATCCCCTCTTTATTCAATCATCGTTCAAGAGACGAGACCAACGCTTTGGCATCGAAACTCGTGCCTCGTGACCACCGCGTGGTGACACTCGAATCGTCTTCATCACTTCGCTAACTCGCCGGCGAAATTACCGTTCGCTTGCTTCCACAATTTGAAAAAAAAAAAAAAAAAACTCTTCGTACGTGAAACAACGATTTAATTATTTCTTCAATTCGCGATATCTTCGTAGACATGGCAACGGTAAGTGTTCTCCGAGGTATTTTAATTAATCATCTATTAATTTTTGCAGTGGGTTTTTCCATTGGAAAATGCGTGAAATTAAAAAAAAATATATTTGACAAAAATCTGAGTTTGATTGATTCGAAAATTTTCTCATCGATATTAAACGCGATATTAATTTCGAACGCGTTACACGACACGCGTATCTTTTGACACGCCTAATTTGAAATCGTCTTCGAATTCACAGGGGTGAAAAGAAATAGAGGTGTGACGTGTATCGAGCGTTGGAAGCGTTGAACTCAAACAGTTCGTCGATCTTCCCTGTTCAACGATGCGCGAAATTCTCATTGTCGATTGACTTTCGTCCACGACGAAAATACATAAAACGTTTAATGTTTCTGAAAATCGTATTAATCTTAACGTAGATCCGTATCTATCTACTCGATCGAATGAAACGTTTCACGATAAGTAATTGATTGGTATTGTAAATATTTTTAAATATCGAATTACAAGTATTCTCGTGTAAAAAAAAAAAAAAAAAAAAAACTCTTAATAAATCAAAAGTAATATACTTGTTATCGAAAAATTTTAATCTATATATAAAGAATCTTGAGAGTTTTATCATAAATTTTCTATGAATCTTTATGAGTTTAAAAACCGGTTTTAGATTATCCTCAATTTCCTCAAATTAAAGATTTTATCACTTATTTAACACTGTATTTTGAATTGAAGTGTATACGAAATAATTTTGACATTGATTCTATATCAAGTATCGAGAAAAAAATTTATTAAATTCTTGTTTAAATGAACTTTCCTATAATTTAAAATTATACTCTTATACATATATGCGAATGTAGATCGATTGAATGCATGTTAAAAAAAATCCAAAACTAAAATTTCTATGTATTAATAACGCAAACTAATAGTTGCAAAGCATTCGAGAAAAATTTGTTTCGTATTATTGTCTTTAGAATCTTTCATTCCGTAATCAAATAATTGACCGTAATCCCTTATGAAATTCATGTCGTCGGAAAAATTATTTTTATTATTCGATGCAAGAAAATCGCCATATATAATCGATCGATATACTCTTCTCGCCGCAATATCTTCAATTTTAAGAGGTGCAACAATTGGACGATGGCGCGTTAAAAGAGAGAGAGAGAGAGAGAGAGAGAGAGAGAGAGAGAGAGAGAGAGAGAGAGAGAAGTAGAAACCGTATCGAAACGAAACGGAATAATACAAGAAGGAATGAGATCTAGTCACTTCGGAAACATAGAGTCTCGACGTGTCGCCGGCGAATACATAAAATTTCTTGTTTGCAGGAGAGGAGAATATTTACGATTTATCCATATAGCGCCACGGCGCCATGTATTTTCGCATATTCGTTATTATATCGCGTCGTAGATTCATCAATGCCATCCGTAGTCGGTAGCTGTATCATCTTTTCATGACTCTAATTATCGAAGATCCTTCCCCCCTTTTCAGAAGGGGAATGCTGGCGACAACTATGAATAATTCGTTTTTTTTCGATCGTGCATTTTAAATAGCTATATACGAATTCGTAGCCGACAGTCTGACGTGAATGAATGATAGATCGAACCGTACCGAGAATGACGATTCCATGTTTGGAACATTAACAGATATCATCCGCTTTCATAATGTTCGGTCGAGTAACATCTTTTTTTTTTTTTTTTTTTAATTTGAATCATCGATTCTCAGCTCATTCGTTCATAACGGGAAAAAAGGAAAATCGTGTACGAATTTGCATTCTCGATTGTTAAATGCAAATAAAATTCTATCTATATAATATATTTAAATAGAATATTGATAGATAATTTATATTGCAATTTTATTTAATTAAAATTAATTGAACTATTGGAAGAGGAGGGGGGAGAGGGGAATGTGTGACGCGAGATCGCGAATATCAAAAAGCCGAAAAAGGAGAAAAGGGGAGGAGGGGAGGGGAAGAGCGAAGAGCTTTTTCTATGCCACGAGACATAGAGACGCCAAGACGTCCCACTTCCAAGCCAAGGAGTTAGAGAAATCGTGTGGGTTTCTAACTTTTTCCCCCTCGCTATTTCCCTTTCTTTAATTCCCATCTTTTAACTCCCATCTGCGGATCTCCCTATCCACTTTCCCTTCCCGATCAACTATTTGCTCTTCTCATATTTCTTGTTTAATTTTGCCAACAAAAGGGGACGATCGTACTTGGCCAAACTAACCTACAATGTTAACAATTCGAGATTACAATTGGAAACAATTTATTCGGTTACATTTATATAACCTCATTTTATTTTTATAGAAATTTTTCTGGTATCTATATGTGTCCATGTGTTTTTGAGATTTTTGGTTACAAAATCGTGTAAACCGTGAAAAAAAAAAGAACGGATTGTGAAAAGGAGAATCGACGAAATTCAATTAATATCGGAGAATGAATTAAATGATCTTTTTGGATAAAAAAAAATCGGTTATCGACATGTAGGTGTTAAAATGTTTTACGTAAATGATCGTCGACTTTTTACATACTCATAAATTAAATTATAATAAATTTCCACTAATGATCGCATAAATGAAATCAGATATTAAAAGCTTTAAGAAATTTGATGCCCTGTCAAAATGAAAGAAAGATATGCAGAAATCGGTACGATTGGAAGATCAAAGAAAATACAATATTGTTCGATATATCTTTAGGGAAAAAAAAATTTCCATACGCTTCGGATTTTAATATTTCAATGAATTTAACAATAATAAAAAAAAGAAAAAATTGACTGCTAAACGAAACATCGTATTTTTTTCATAGGAATAAAGAAAAATATATTTTTCATAATCAGAAATTTTATATTATGAACGTTTATAGATCTTGACAATCGACAAGCTGACCTTTTTTTTGCCCAAAGCATTATTCTAATAATTCAAAAAAGAATATTAATTCTTATAATTCATTTCTCGAACGAACGTTGATTTCTAATAAATCGTAGGTTATGTTAACCTCATTATGTTAATAACATTCGATTGTTTCTCGTGTCATATTTTCTTTAAGCAAACAATGAATGATTCCAGTGAAAAAAAAAAAATGATAATTTTGACACTATCACATTTTTTTGAAGAGAGAGAAGGAAGCGAAAATTGTCTCGTGAAATATACACGAAAAACCTGTTACTTCGATATTTTATTCTTCGCTGTGAAACACATATTACCATTATCGGTTTTCTTCTTTTTTTTTAATTCTTTTTTTTTATCTTTTTAATCGAAATTAAATTTAACAATTTCGAAATTGATACGTATATAATAATCTATATCGAGTAATAAGATCGTTATAGAAAATATTCGTTTCTGACACAACGGTACACGTTTTTTTTAAACGAAGAAATATAAACGAGAATATCATTGATCATGTTAATAATACGCATTTACATGGAAGTATTGTGATATATCTGAGTTTGTAGAACATATACGCACTTCGAAGATTACAGGCAGTCTTTTTCAATTAAAAATCCGTTGCCTTCATTTTAACGTACTATTGGTACATGTTTCGTCAAACTAAAAATATATTTCGCTACTACCGTGCATTCGCAAAACTATTGAATGTTGTAATGGAAAATATAATACTTGCATCACGAATCAATAAATGTAAATAAATTTTTTTTGAATTTATATAAGATTTTTGCATTTCTACATAGAATTTCCTTAAGGATTAAGGAAAGAAATATTATTATTTTTAAAGAAAGAAAGAAAAAAAAAGAGTTTCGAAACACAAACAAATTTTGTTTCTCGTTTATTCAAAATCTTTCTTATAAGTAAGAAAGAAAGAAAGAAAGAAAAAAGGAAATTTAAGGTTATTAGTAAATTGTGTAAATGCTTTTTCAAATATATCGTCAATTGTCGATCAATTTGCATAATTTCTGCAATTGCGATGGCCACCAATTAGCTAAAATTAACCATGTGCAACATTATCGTGTCACCACCTACTATCTATACTCCATTCAGTGGTTCCTTTGATAAATTTCAAATTAATAGACGAATGCTGTCAAACGATATTTGCAAAATAATTTACTTTTCTTTCTGAAACAATTTCACATAATAAAAATGAAATAAACAAAAAAAAAAAAAAGAAAAAAACAATATTATTTCGACTTATTATTATTATTATTATTATTATTATAAACCATTTAAATTGGTAAAAATAAAAAAAAAAAATTATTTTTATAATGTGTGATAGAATAGAAGGATAATATAACGTAAATCTAAAAAAACTTGAAAACATATATGTATATTTTTTTTTTTTTTTTTGTTAAAAGAACAAGTTCGATCGTTTCAGAAACATTAAAATGCAAAGCGGATAGATAAGCATAACTTGGTCTTAGTTTATAAGATATCGCTTTACATCTTGATTGTATGCAAAATTGTTCGACAAAACACCCGGAAGATACAATTTATCTCTATGTATCGTTTTGTGTATCAACCCCGCTAAACATCTATTTGTACGACGAGTATGGGAGTTTAATCGATAACCGGATCATCAATTTACATTCTTCTTAAAAAAAATTCTTCCGTGGGACTTCCCACGTATAAGTGATCGGCAAAATCTAAATCGAATCACGGCAACACATATCCTCTTAGGAAGTGCTATATACGTGAATTGGAAATTGGTTAATTGACCCCGATTAGAAACGAATCAGAGGTAAATTGTGTGGAACCGCGCATGATTATTACTAGTATTATAAACTTGATAAAATTTACGATATTAAAAGTAATGCGATACTACAAAAAAGATCGTTCGAAAAATTCGTATAAATTTTTTTTTAACATCGAATCGATCTATTTTATTTTCATACTGAATCATTGATTATTTTTATTTGGATAAATAATGCAATCATTCTTTATTAATATTTCAAGGATAAAATCATAAAAGCAAGTAAATTTACGATGTTTATATTTGAGATGTTACTATACTTTTGAATACTTTTGGATCGATTTTAGACGCTAAAAAAAAAAAAAATATATAAAAAATATTGATTATTTATTAAATTATTAAAAGAAATTTCAATTGTTTATAATTTAATGGATTGTCTAAGTTTTTGTACAGTAACTTTTATTTTAGTCTCTAATGAGCCTCAATTTTTTGAAAATATTCGAAAATTAATATTAATATTCCGTATTAATGCAACATATTTTCTATAAAATCAATGAGAAACTTGCCCTTTTCAATAAATACGATGTATTTCTTTATATATATCTTTTATTCTAAGTAAATGAATTTTCGTAGGAAATGTACGTAAATTTGCCACTTAAATTTTGAAACCTGTTTTGAAAATCTGTTCTGATATTTTCCATCCGACAATATTATTAAGCGCTGTTCGAAACATTCGTTGGCAAAAATAACGAGAACCAGATGTCGAAAAGAAGAAATTGGCACAAATTGGGTGATACTCTACGAACACGTTCTTTCTTTTTTCTCCATCGAATTGAAAATAAATGATATCGATTTTATCGAATGAAATCGTCTCGTCCTCCCGATTGACAAGACTTGAACATAAAGATAGGTGACCTTTTTTCAATCGCATATTTAAATACATGCGACATTGATGTCTTAAGTTTTCATTGATAATGAATAAGAAAATGAAAAAAAAAAAAAAAAAAAAAAAAAAATCTAAAATTATTATGAAATACTTGTAAATAATAATAATAATAATAACAATCGAAATTGTTTACAGGCTGTTATTTTCATTCAACGATGTATGATCATTGTCGCTATCCTACTTTGTTATTTTCATGTTCAGAGTGAAAGCGTGAATTGCGAGTATGTATACACAATATATTTTATGTATATATAAAATTTAATGATCAAATATAATGATAGATATAATAAAAATGAATGCTAATTGTGTACTTTATGTTTCTTCAGATTGTATCCATTCCATCATACTTGTAGAGGTACAATGTCGAGGAAACGTGCGATGTTCCCAATTGTGTACGGATCAGGATGTGAGGAAAATAAAGGAAATATAAATTGTATCAAAGAATTTGAAGAAAAACATCATATTGCCTATATTCCGTTATCGAAGTCAAAACTCTTAATTGCTTTGCTTGATGATGTAAGTGATTCTATTAAGTTTTTTATCGATGTATTAATTAAATAAAAATTGTAAAATATTAAAAAAAAAAAAATAATAGTAAATTGTTATATTTAATATTTTCATAAATTGTCATAGGATTTACGAAAGGATATTACACGATCAATCCGCCATAAATTAAGGAACGATGAAATGATTAAACAAAATTCAGCTTTAATGGAAAACTTTTTATCGCAATTGGACTCTTCGGACAATTACTGAATGAAATGGTCAGGAAATACAAATTTTCTCGGCTCTTGCAAGCATTTTTCATTCAAACTTTCAAAAATGTATAAAAGCATATATGTTTAAATCTTCGTTGTCTTCCTTTCTCTTCTCTCTCTCTCTCTCTCTCTCTCTCTCTCTCTCTCTCTCTCTCTCTCTCTCCCTCCCCCCCCATATATATATAAAATAAAATCCTTTCATCAATTCCACTTTTTTCATTTTTTTAAAAATCTTACTTTTTTGTCTTTCTATCTTTTCCTTTAACCCAAATAATTATTATTACTTTTTCAATGTCTTTAAACAGGATTAAAATATTGTATTCACGTTATTAACAATATACGCGTGTTATAGCATAAAAAGATACATTTGAAATTCGAAGTAATTCCTTGAATTGTCCTATTAAAAAAGAGAGAAATTAAAATTAAAAATATCGTTTAGAAATATCATTTTATTATAATATTATAGTTATTATTTATTGAATTTATATATAAACAAACATAAAAAAAGAATAATACAGACTGATTTTGAAAAGTTTAAAGAAAATACGTAATTAATAAAGTTACTTATTTCTAATATTAAAAAATTTAGAAAGAGAATCTAGAACTTTTATTTATGTAAATTTGAAAATGTACAAATATTAAAATATAATATATATCATAATAATCTGAATTTTATAATTATTATAATAAATTGTTATATTTGCGTAATTATTTTTTAAGCTATTTAATTATTAAAAAAAATAAATCAACGATTTATAATTTGTACAGGAATCCAAAATAAAATCTATAATATAAGTAATGAAAAGTAAATAAAAGAGGAATAAAGAATAATAGATATAATAAAAAATTATTAATAATTTGTATGTATATACTATTAATAATATAATTTCTTTTCAAATGATTAATTATTATTTGTTATCATAATTAAAATATATATTATTTTATATTATATATTATATCTATTACAATTTGTAAAAAATTTATCAATATCATAAATGATAACGAATGTGTAATATACAATTAATTCATTTATATAGTTAATTTAAATTAAATATATAGATAATCATCAATAAAATATAAAAACATAAATACATATATATATATATATATTATATATATATGTAAAAGGTATAGTACATAATATAAAATAATATATATTTTAATTATGATAACAAATAATAATTAATATATATATATATGTAATTAAAAAAAATTATATATTTATATATAATTACTTAAATATATATATAATATATATTACATAATTATATATTATTTACAATTAACAATATCTCATGCACAAAATGTGTTATATGAATCAAGTTGAAACCATTGAATATAAATAAAATCTTGAGATGTGAAATGACATTAGTCTTATTTTTTTATAAATAATTTTTGTAAATAATAATTTCTTATTTATGAAATTATTTATTATCATTATGAACATAAATACGGTAAAAATATAAATATAAAATATATTTATATTTATATTTATTATAAAATATAAAAAATATAAATTATTTCTAAAATAAAAATTCATACTTTTCAAAAAATACTTTTAAAAAGTAAACAATCAATATAACAAAATTTAGTATCTAATTCTGATTTCACTAACCAATAATTGAATTCGCATGTGTTCGATTTGTTTACTTCTTGATAAACAATTTAAAATAATTTATTTTGTTAACAATGTATAAGCATACATATAGTAAATATATTTAATGTATATATATATATATATATATATATATAGAGAGAGAGAGAGAGAGAGAGAGAGAGAGTATACTTCTTTAATTCAATTCGACATTGTAATTGCCGGTATGGGAAAAATTTGGCTCTTGTTTCTATAATTTTATGTAAAAAGTTTTGTTTGAAATTAATAAAAATTTAAGAAATTGTATATGTTTCCATAAAATTAAAAAAATGAATATTATCACAAGAATTATTATAAGTTATAACTATAATCATACGAAAACAATAATTTTAAGGTTATGTAATAAATTATATTGCATAGATACGAATAATTATATATGGAATAATTATATTTTAAATAATTTTGTAAAAAACTATAAATACTTTCTTCCGTATCATACGTTTACAACAATTGCAGTTAATGAAACTTTTCAAGATAAATTTATATCAAAAAATCATAATTTATTTGAACATCAAATCATACATTCGTATTTTGAAAATTCGATGCATTATAATAATACAATTTTTCCACGTATTAAAACATATACAGAAATTACGTCTGAAGATAAAAATAAATTGCAAATTACAGATTGGTCTAATGAATCCGCAAATAAAATTTTTAATGCTATTAAAAAATTGGCATATTCTTATTTAACTGATTCAAAATTATTAGAATTATCAGTCTATGACAACATTTTGAAAGTTTTTATTAAACAGTTAACAGTATTAGAAAATGAGCAAATAAAGGTATTAATGCAATGTTTAATTGTATTAAATGATGTAATAAAAAAAACGAGTATTTATAAAAACTTTATGAAACAATTAAATATGGAATGTTTAAAACGATTTTATCCATCAGATACTAAAGAACTATTATTAATGAGTGATGCATTCTATCAATTGCAAGATAAAAATTCTGATTATTTATTTCGTGCAATAAGAAAATTAAGCTCGAAATCAAATAAACTTTCTCCAAAATCACTAGTTCAATTGTTATTTTATTTAAATTTAACTAATATAGGATCAGCTATAAATATGTTTGAAATTGAATGTCTGTTAGAACAATATATGCCTGATCTTGTTGTAAATGAATTGGGTATAATAGCGAGAAGTTTTTTTTTACAAAAAAGAAGAATTAAAAATAAAACTTTGATGCCACTTATAATTAAAAAAGTTACTGAAAATATTAATAACTTGGATAGCATAACTTTAGCATCAATTATGAAACTTATTAGGTAAGTAATTTATTATGCATAAATAATTTTTTATTATATAATAATTTTATAGATATATATATATGTATATGTATATGCATGTTTTATAGGTATAGTGAATGTATTCACTGTAAAGAAGAATTTCAATTTTTATTGAAGTATTTACGTGATATAATACCAAATTTATCATTGCTATGTTTGATCCACATAGCACATGCATTTGGAAGTTTACATGTATATGATGAAATTTTAACAAATAAAATTATGGAAAGGTAAATTATTTACAATAGAAAAAATATGACATTTAATTTATTTAACTTATTTATTTTTAATTCAGAATAGTAACTGAAATAAAAAGTGCAAGATTAAAAGATATTGAAAGAATTATTTATAGTATATGTACTGTTGCTCCTAATACAGATTATTATACTGATATATATAAAAAATTGATTGAAGAAATAATAACAACTTATAAAACAACCAGAGCTTGTGAAATTGAGAAGTAAATTTTTTTTTTATAATATGTTTATTTTTATAATGTTATGTTACATATATAGATGATGAAATTATATTGATTAATAATTTCTTTTATATATTAAATGTAGATTTCCAGCAACATTTATACGTATTCTTACATTTTTAACAATGAAAAATATATATATACCAGAACTAATTCAATATATATTTGAACCTAACTTTATGGAAAAGGTATATAAAAATAATTTAAACTTGATAACAAATGAATGGTTAATTTTACATTGCTCAGTTGAAATAGAAATGCCTTATTACAAAGGACCAATGCTAAATAATAATATGTATAAATATTTAACAAAGGTATCATGTATGAAATTAATATATTTTTTTTTCCAAATTTATAGTTAAATATATTAAAAATAATTTTTATTATTTTAGAAATTTTGTTATAATGATGATATTTATAGAAAGGATAAAATTATAAAATTAAAGACTGAAGTTGTAGATTTATGCAAGGTATATATTTACAAAATTATTTAAAGAAAGATAATGCTTAAGATAATAAAATAATATATTAAAATAATATTTAATATATTAATCTTAATATTTTAGACAAAATTGGGAATAAATGTATATGTTGATTATGTTTTACCTCATTATCCAAGTAGAGAAATTATTTTTGGTATGGATAAATATAACAATTCTGTTAATATTGAATCTATTTTATCAGAAATGCAAACAGACACAATTAAAAGTGTTAAAAGTAATAAGCATATAAATTGGAAAATTTTATTTATATTATCAAATTTAGGAATTGTATTAGGTCATAATGATTCTACTGGATATATACAGAGACAACTCAGACAACTTAAAGCTATTGGATATGAACCAATTCTAGTAATTTCCAAAATTATTATTTTATATATAAATTCTTCTTTTATTATATATATTGTATTAATTTGAGATTCTTTGAATTTTTATTAGATTAATCAATATGAATGGATGTCATATACTTACGATGAAAAAATAGAATATTTAAAAAAATTAATTTATCAAAAAACATAATGATTTTTAAATAAAATAATTTTCTTGATAAAAGAAAATTTTATTCGAAAATAAGAGAAAAAAAAAGATAAAAGGTAAATTTTTAGTTATTTATAATCTTTTTTTAAACTTCTTTGTAAGTCTTGTAACTTTTCAATAAGTAAATATTGTTATTTATAAATATTTTAAATATTATATTTTGCACAAATATAATATGTAAAAATTTATTTATTTTAAGAAATTCTTTTATTTTTTTACAAAAAAATATGTAAAAAAAATTATTTTTATGTTAAATATTTTCAAACTAATTTATTTTTATTTTTTTTCTTATAATTCTTAGAATTTTTAAACAAAATAATATAATTTTTATCCATTAATTATTTTCAAAAAAATTAAGCATAAACCTTTTAGTATATTCATAAGTTACAAATAATGTAGCTGTTGCTGGTATTGTTCTAATTAATGTTGGTTTTAAACCACTGTACAAGGAATTGATACCTTCATTTCTTACAATATCTTTCATAACTATTAGTGGAGGAGTTTTCAAATTTTTTACCTTTAAAAAAAATTAGAA